AAGGCACTTTTCTCTAACTGTTTTCATTGTTTCAGTCCTTATGAACTTCTTAAGATAGCCATTCTCATATAACGAGTTCTCTGTCATTCTTATTGCATCGTCCAAAGTGTCAGCTATGCAAAATCTTGCTGACTTGAAATATCAGTCTACGGATTAAATTCCTTTTGCACGAAAGAGTGACAAATTGATAGGAAATGTGTATACTGACCAATCCATGACTTCTTACGATACATATTGCGTCTGATACTGCTATCTGTTCATTTTCAAAGAAAAATATCCAGAAATGGCAGACGTCCATCTTTCTCTGTTTCACACATGAACCCGATTTCTGATTGAAGACTGCTGAACGTATCCAGAAGGATGTCAGGACTGGCATCATGTTTGTACAAAATAAAAGTGTCATCCATGTATCTGAAATAGACAGACAGTTTATCTATCGTGATACACAGAGGTCCACTTTCCAACTCTGTCATAAACATATCGGTTAGAAGAGGACTTTATGATGAATCCATTGCCACACCTATCTGACGGTTAGCTAAATTTTTACATTCATCATGCAACGAAGAAGCAGCCGTCTTAGGGTTCTATGTGACATACCTGCCTTCATCTTGTTATCTAGCTGTGAACCACAAATAGAAGCATTTTTTCAGAACAGAAAGGTTTTTAAACAAGGAAGTAATGTCCATAGAAATCACTGTTTCGTTATTAACGTTCTTTTCTTCGACTTTGAAATAAACTCAAAAATGTCCTTTAAGCTGTATTTGGCCACCTTATTTTCTAGTGGTTTCAGGGTATCTGCTAGCCATGTCACTACTTCATGATGCGGTGAATTTAACATATCTGGTACATTTGGATGTATAGATTTTGGCCAATACATACATTCCTGGTATATTTGTACCTACAGGCTTAAGTCTTTCAAAAGTGCAACTAGTTGACAGTGTCTTCAAAGTTTTGAAAATTCACTTTCTCAATGTGATCTTGCTAGTTCACCGGTTTCTGAAACTTTGTAGTATCTTCAAGGATACAATTCATTTTATCGTTATAGCCGTCATTATTCAAGAGTACGACTCAAGTTCCCTTGTCTAGCCTTGTTATAAGTGTACTGTGGTTAGACCGCATTACCCTAAATGCTTCGCAATGCACCTTACTAAGCATACTCTTATCATTGAATTTTCTTGGCCTATACTGGTAACAGCTCTCCACTAGGGAAGCCTTCAACCCTTCCCCTTTTACAGCAGTCGATGGAACTAAATCACTATTTTCATTAAAGAGATTTTCCAACTATATTTTAGTTTCGGCTTCCATCAGACGACTGCTCAGGTCACAGAATTTTAATCCTAGAGATAAAATCTCATGGTCTAATGAAGTGAAGGGAACGGAAGAAAAATTGTGGAGGTACCCTCGGAATTGGTTCGAAATTGACGTCGTAGTGTCTGTTTATCTATCACTATATCTATAAACGAATATTCGACAAAACAATAAGAAGACGTAAATTGTCTGAACAGTGTAATGGATTTGCACAATACATTTAAAACTATCTGATCACACACGTACTTCCCATAGATATTTATATAAAAATTCATGAAGATAAGGTGTGAGGAAATAAAAAGAGGTCAGGTAGGAGGGCTCAATTAAAGGCCGAACAACAATGAAAATCAATAGAGAGGAAGCAACAGTACATGGAACTTGATTTTCAATAGTTGAATTTTCCCAAGGAAGATCTAATGTGATAACAAATATTGTTTATGAACCCACAAAGGTGGTTCCAACTTTCTAATAGCTAAGGCTTCAACAAATTTAAGTATCCCTTCACAACACGTTTTGTAAATAGGTGTGAATGAAGTAACCACGTCAATCCTCTTCAACATGTTTCGCCAACGAAGAACTTGGACATCTGCTATCTATGTTAATGGGTTCAGGTGGTTCAATTCGCTTCTGAAGGCACTTTGGAATATGTTTCGAGGCCCTTAGTTGCATGGATCTATGAGTTGCGCAAATGCATCACACGGTTCATACAGTTTATTTCTTCTTATTGTTTTGTCAAAATTTATAAAGGGAGCTAATTGTTTTAGACGAATATTGTTTATCTACACATTCATCGATAACCTTCTTCACATACTTCTCAAACACTGAGCCTAAATTACCTGGGACTCATTTCTTTCCAACTCAGAACATTTGGATTCAGTCAAATCAACTTAATTCAACGCAAAACGTTACAGCCTTCTGATATTTAGCCTGATTTTTGATCTTGGAAAATATTTCCAATAGGTTTTAGGTTAACGATTACGTTGTATGCATAATTTGTAAAACTCTATACATGCATTTGCTTCAGCCATCCAAACCTTGAACTTCAAGAACTCATTAAGTTTCTGTTTTGTCTTTGTCATTATCCTGTAATTCATATAACGGATTCAATGAACCATATTGGCATTAAATGACTACACTGAATGACTTATAAATATAATATGTAACAACCAGCTGTTGCAAAGATCACTTAAGGTAATCAAAACAATCTCCGCTATCCAACCTACTATTTGTTGTTGCTATACTTAACCTATTTTAAATTGTTTAACTATCATTATTTATTTGGAAGGTTAACTAATTTCTACAGATATGCATAGGATGCATGCAACTGCTTTTGAATAGCTTTATTTTCAATGTCTGAGCTTCTAAATCTAGTACAGATGTAGTGTTGTGTTTTATTTGGGCTTAACCACTATTCTGTCAACTTCTGAATGAATTCAAGTTCATGACGCCCAATCACAGACATAGTTACCTGTGTTCCAGCACCAATGACAATAATAAACTAACAGTGTTGTGATATTATATTCTAAAACGGAACCACTCAAGAAAACACAACTAATTAAAACTTTACTGTTGGCGATTTCAGCGAAATGGTCCCTAAAATTAGGACTAGAGAAGTCAAACAGGAGATTACGATATCCTCAGTAAGCAAGTTCAATATCTCTTTGTAAGATACGCATAGTTGAGTTTGTGTGAAGTAGAAAGCTAGCAGATTTTGGTGAAAATTATCAAGGATCTCAGTGTCTTTTCAATAGGTGAACACATAAAAACGTATTCTAAGGGAACTAACTACTCGTCAAGGTAGACAAGAGGATAGTAAAACGTGATATTTTAGAGGATGTATTAACATCGCCTAGTTAACTAGTTCACTAGTTACTAGTCGGTCCTAAGACCGGATAAAGAAGGAAGGTTGCGCACAGGACTGGCAACCCTACACCGGAAAACCAATTCAATCACTAAACAAACTTCAAAACACATAGAAAATACAAAAAACAAACTTATTCCTCCCTGGAATCGGAGAGACGAAATGATGCCAGTTGGTGAAAGCCTTCGAGAAGCCAATTGGCCAATTGGTCGATGTGTCTTCTCTTCTCTCAATGAAAGAGGAAGTAAACGTGGGGACATGGAATGTCCGCACTATGTTTGAAGCTAGCTGACTGGCAAGGCTGCCCAGATTGCAAAAGAGATGATAAGGTATGGCATAGAAGTGCTAGGAATCTGAGAGGAATCTGCAGATGGAATGTAAGTGGACAGTTCAAACTGTCAACTGGAGAGTCAATAATTTACTCTGATATTGTCACCCAGACGACACGACAACCACGATGACAGCACACTGAGTTATGTAGTAGCTATCATGATGTCCCCTTGAAGAGTATCGAAGGTTCTCTCTCCCTCTCGCCTTCAGTGAGAATCAATCTCCTACTGCAAGAACCTCCACTATGAACCCGAGGGACAAATGATATTTACAGAATACCTTAATATGGACATGATTTTCATAATTTCCACATCCTGATGTTTCTTTAATTGACGGATGACATTGCTTCCATCGTTTTTTAAACCTCTGAATGTTTTTTTCAGTGGGTTTTGGATAAAACTGTCGACTATGGATTCGGTGATACTGCGTGTTGGTTGGCAATCTCAAAATCAATCGGGATTGTAGCCGACCTTGTTTGGCTTCATTTTTTGGTTTTAGTTCAGATAGCTGATGATACAAACTCTTGTACTAGATTTCAGTGTCAGTTCATTTAATGAATTTTCTTGGAATATAAAATCACCAATTCATAGTCAACAGTTTTATCCGAAGAACACCAAATGGCACCAAGAAATTAAATGAATCATGAAACCATCGTTGTGGTGTGATAATGATGGACAAAGAAAACCATGTACATAAAGTCAAACCAGTTCTGCATGACTCATCCACTAATCATATCTAAAATGAAAATACCGGCAGTATCGAGGCATCCGTGCAGGAGTCCATATACCAATAATGGCCGATTAACGAGGGAAACTTAAAAGCTCTAACAAAAAAAATAGTATTTTGTTAACCATGGTTTTAGAAACATCGTTTTTATGTTGCCAAGTGAATTGGTCACCGTAGAGCAACCAGTTTCATGTTTTCTAGTTGTAAATACTGACCTATTTCTATCGATCGTTCGGCAGTTAGTTCAACAGGCTAGGAGGCTCAATATGGCAGTGGACGTTTGATGGATACTAGTTTGGTTGGAGGCAATCAGTAGAAAGTCATGAACCTAGGTTCTGGGTTTGTTGGAACTCGTCAGGAAGGTGTATCTGAAACCTCGAAGCCACTCAGTGTTGCATTCAGTGACGTTACGAATAGCCATTTGGTTGCGATTGACGCTGTTTTGAGCCCATGGGAGGACATAATTTCCTTCCAGGTTGCAGATATGCCTTGCTTAGAAAAGTCAACAAACACGAAATGTAGTCCCGGAGGTTTACTCTCAACGCCTCCATCTACCTAATATCCAAAGTTTATTTTGTTTTATATTAATCAGGGAATACGAACACCAAAATAATGAATGATCATAACGATTCCCATTTACATTCTGTGCAGTGCTAGTTATTCCTTAGACTGGTCAGACTCCATATTGCTCTTTACTCTTTTTTAAAATGTAAATTGTTTTTTTAGCTGGCCCGACAGTCCAGTCAGTAAACTATACTACAGAAAAGAAACTTACTTTATATCGGGATTCATCGAAATTAACTTCTCCACTTCTTATTGTGACATAAAACCGAGTCCACCAATCAGCAGTGGCTAGTTGTTCAGGTGTGGGACCAGAATTTGTTGTAACGAGATGAGCCTGGCAAAATGTAAGATGAAATCGAACTTGAAAGAATCAGACGATAGTATACACCATTGCGGCTGGTGCAAAGAAGGTTACAACACAGGTTAACGGGTATAAATCTGTGTACAGACTATAGGTTTCACATATGTTGTAGAGTCTATAGTTTTGGACGACAGTATGTACCCCATCAAATCAATGACTTGCTAAACAGATTACCTCATTTTGGTTGTCTGGTCTGCTACTCATAACCTCATACACAGTATGCGTTTCTGTGATTTTTGCTTCAAATAGTATTTCTTCGTTGAACAGTTGGCCAGCACTTTTAAAGCTTTGTTTCCTGCAGTCAGTTTGATGAAGGCTAGAGAACTTGTAAGTCGATCAACTTTCTATTATTGTAACTTAACTTCAGTTTAACATGAGCCCTGTTCTTCAAGTGACTCCATCTTGTATAAGTAATACTCACTAAAGCATCTCTATCCTGATACACAATTAAGGCAAACAGCAAAGGTATGGAAAGCAGGGTATAATGAATTCGTAAAATTTCAGTAGAACTTACAGCTGAATACTCTACATATTGGACTATTATGATATTATTAACGGATATATATAACTGAAACAATGAATAAAGCTTAGGGACTTAAGGTTAAAAGGATATTTGTGTGAAGAGTGGAGTGACTTTAAAGACCACTCTAGTAACTGTCAAAATAACCAATCAGCTTTCACTATTTCGTCTAGGGAGGTAGTTTTTTCAGAAGATAAAGAAACTTAATTGGTTATCTCAGTAGTTGTTAGGTTTTCATTTAGTGTCACTTGAAAAGCGTCCAGTATACATGTAAAAAGGTTCTTAAGTAAGGGTGTAAGGATATAAAAGTTAACAACCATGTCAATCAAAGTTTAGCTACATTGTGAGTTCTTGCGTTACATTTACACGTGATCTGTTGAACTATAACTTTAACGTTACCAATCATTCGATTTAGTAATTTTGAGCACCAAAAGTTACGTTACGTTGCTCCTGCATAACGTGGTATTTTATATTGATAATCTCCGCGGTTTAGTAGATCTTTCTGTACAGAAGAAAGACTCGGAGCATATATTGCTTCTTTTTCTCAGAAACCCAACTTTCTGAGCATCATACCCCTCTTCTGGAACGTTAAAGGATATCACCTTTAAGAGACACCCATTTTGATATACACAGCGGGACCCAATAAAAACTACTGCTGAGAAAACAGGGAAACGGAAACGAGGACTAATAATTTTGCAATACACTTTACCTGAAGTGTAAATAAACATTCGCTAATAACTGTCATATTTGATACATAAGTCGTTGCTAAACCTTCTGTGACTGCTAGTTATTTTACTTGTTCTTCTGTATTAACGAACCCAATAAACGTGTAACTACTACTGCTCCACCATGGTCCAGCCTAACAAACGTATATGTGCTGTACATACACGTAAACCTAACCCTAGCGCCTCAACTGAAAGAGCACGTTCACTAAGTGGTTTGACATCAAGCCCTAAAAGAGGTCCTGAAGTTAAAGTAGTCGATCTGATACCGGAGCTACATAACACTTTGCGTAAAAACAAGGAAGATTTGATAACCTTTCAGAAGTCACTGCAAGACATGAACGCTAAGCTTGAAGTTATTCTGCCACTGCTGAATCTTTGTCAGCCTAATCTAGAAGCCAGTACTGAAACTCCATGGAAAACAGAAAGTGTCCTAGGTTTCATTGCTACAGAGGTTTATAAAAGGATTATGTCCTTATATAATGTATCAGTATACAACATACCGGACTACGAACCGATCAAGCAAGTAGAACTCTTATGTTTGCAGGCTTGTAACATGTCTTCTGCAGAATGCTAAATTACCCATCTCCTCAAGAAGTTGGAGAAATATACTTGCCCCTTGTTGTTCAAATGTAGTGGCTCTTACCACTCTAGACACTTCCTATCATCCAATCAACTTGTGAGTGTATCCACACCATATAAAAGTGTCAAACTTTCACAAGACTTAACACCTTGTCAGAGACATAGTCGCACAAAAATACCAAAAGCTGCAAACTCTAGTTAAGCTGTGGTACCCAAAATAACAACATAATCTATTGGTGAACTGGTTACTGTACCAACACAATGGAATTAGAAACACCAAAGCCCACAGAATAGCCCACTCACACAGACGTAGTAGAGCCGATGACAAGACGGCAGGCTTGGACAAATCGACGAACTACACTCGACAACAGGCACGCCATCTCGCAAAAGCGATCTCACTGCCTACAGAAGTGGAAATCCAGTCCTCATCTCACCCCATCACTCAGGTAACCACCAAACCAGGTGCTGCGCTATCAATCCAACAAAATACTGAAGACATTACTATGTCATCACCAGGTGTTACTCAGCACCAGCCACAAGCACCCTGTTACCATCTGTCCGTCCCGAAGCCTAGAGCGTAAACAGTCTAATCTACCCCACATCAGCCAGTGCATAACTTATCTGCATCAAATCGGCAGATGACAAAGGGTACATATAGCACTAGACACTCTTATACAAACCCCGCCATGCACCCACCCAGGTTAAATAAACTGCCGAAAAGCCAATTTAGCAGCGAAGCCAATACACGGAAAAGCAATAAGAATAGCCAAAAGACCATTGCATCTTCTCAAAGCCACACTAAGGAGAATGCCAAACATTATTTCTCAGGTCATCCTATGACCAAATCAAATAACTTCTCTCCAGGCGATCCACATTCCTCACACTTCCGCGGTCACTAGCAGGCACACACCAAGGCCAGACTCCTCAACGGTCACAGTTATTGGATAGGGAGCCGAATGGTAGTCACAGACTATGCTCTCCGCCTCACCCATACGCCGCAAAACGTAGGTCATACGCCATTCAAGGACAAACTTACAATAGATCCCCTAACGAAAAACTTGGTGAATATGAATTTGGCTATGACCATAATGTATAGAGCAACCAGCGGATAGGTGTGCCATACAATCTATCAATCCTCGTTACTTCGTGTTAACAGGGTTTTTTGAACAGCCTACGACTGCAATGCCACCAGTAGTGCAGGTAATTCGGATCCTGTCGGATCATCTGCTCTCTACCCTGACCAACAGTCTCTATACCAATCACAATGTGGTGAATACCTCGCTCCTTCCGAGGTAAACAGTACCGAATCGTCGCCCTGTACAAAAGGTCATGACATCGCTAGCACGATGTACGCAAAGGACCCACAAGGAATGTACAGAAGTGCTGACTTTTCGAGATATATCTAAACACTTTTGTACTCTTAACTCGCTCTCGTTTTGCCTGATTAACGCCCGCTCTATACGCAACAAAATGAAAGAGATTATGCTGCTATCTCTGATAAGTGATCCGTCCGTGATAATGGTTACAGAAACATGGTGTACCTCTGATATTTGTAACACAGAGATCTCCATCACAACTATTCCTTGTTCAGGAAGGATAGACTACATGGTAAGGGAGGAGGGTGCATTATCTATATAAAGTCCGACATCACTGCTACGCAGTGCCCTACATCTGAGCTAAACGAGATTGACGACTCAGTATGGATTATCGCAAACTTACTCGCTCCACTTCCCTCCTAATAGGATGCATTTACCGGCCCCCTTCCTCCTCAGTCGAATACGACGACAAGCTAACAAGCGTGTTCGCCGTGTGGCAACACTACCCACACAGCGAAAATTATATGTGGTGACTTTAACATGCCAGATATAAAGTGGCGACCAATCAGCTATCCAGAGCGCTTTGATAAATTCATAAGCATTCTTGAAACAGAGGGTTGGCAACAACATGTGGAACACCAGGTACAATAGTGTCCTGGACCTAGTCTTCACAAACGAAACCACACCCACAAAACTCCAAGTGGGTACACAACTTCCAGGTAGCGATCACAAGGTTGTATATGGATACTTCAACATATCCAGCACAAAATTAGCCCAAAAGTCAGGAACAGTACTAACTAGAAATTACAAGTATGCCAAATGGGACGAACTACAATCGTTTCTGCGCTGCCTAGATTGGAGCCCCTACTTTACCAACAGTTCAGCCAAAGAACTTTGTGATCTATTTTATGAATAAATAGGCACAGCTCAAGACTGTATTGCTCCACCGCTCCAAAAAGAAATTAAGAAAAACAGAGCTGACTATATACCTACGAAAGTACGCATCCGCATGCGAAACCATGTCAGAGAGTACTATAAGTCGAATGACTTTTCGTCGCTTGTCACACTCAAAGACACATACGACACATTCAAGATAGAAAGAGTAATAGAAGCCGTTAAACAAGAACGCATCCAATGTAGTAAAACTAGTAATACAGAACCACTAGTGAGACTGATGAAAACCCGGATAAGTAGCTCCAGAAATAGTACCCCTAGTTTAATCATGGACAACGGCATCCTCTACGATGAACCACTACAAATCAGCGAGCTGTTCGGTTACCAGTTTGCTAGCTGCTTTACACAAGAGGACGAAATAAAAGTCATTGGTGCACCGTCAACACCAACTCACTCCATAAGTACAGTGCTCTTCTCTAAACAAAACATTTCTCTAGCTATAGCATCACTTCGAACCTCATACAGTGCGGGGCCTGATGGAATTCCAACCATCTTGTTAAAAAGAGGTGGCGAAGATATACCGCTGATTCTCTTGAAGCTCTTTAATACGTCCCTCTCCAGTGGCAATTACCCTGAGAACTGGAAACTATCATACATATGTCCTAAGCATAAATGTGGACCAACATCTAATATAGAAAACTACCGACCTATAAACATCACGTCAGTAGTATCCAGGACTATGGAAAAGGTGATTGTGAAAGCAGTTGTCGACTATATGACGACTAACCAATTACTCTCACCAGCACAACATGGATTCTTGAAAGGCCGGTCATGCACTACAAGCTATCTTGACTATCTAGACAACGTTACAAGCAAGCGTGACCAAGGCCTATTTGTAACTACCCTTTTCTTAGACTTCAAGCAAGCATTCGATAAGGTGCCTCACAAACGCCTGGTCACTAAGTTGCAATCATATGGTTTCCGAGACCCGTTACTGTCCTGGCTCAGAACATCTTTAGAGGGTCGCTTCCAAGTAGTAAAATTCAGTAATTGCTACTCCTCCCCTAGACTTATACAAAGTGGTGTCGTCCAGGGTAGTGTGCTAGGACCGATACTTTTCCTAATCTATGTAAACGATATCTGCAGTGTTATCCGAAATGGCATACCCTACCTTTTCGCTGACGACTTGAAGATAGTCTACAGCTTTTCTCCTGCAGCACTAGCACAAGATCTGAAGAGATTATTCATATGGAGCGAGACCTGGCAGCTCCCTCTAAACCCAAATAAAAGTGGCATCCTCCATTTCAATAAATCCCACCCAGAAGTAACACTACACTTGGGTGATATTGCACTGCAGATACAAAACACTGTGAAAGACCTCGGAATCACTTACTCCAGAAGTTTGACTTTTACGGAGTATACAGATTCAATAGTTTTCAAAGGCAGAAGACTCACTGGTCTTCACACAGAAACACTCACACCTGAGGCAAAACTTATACCATATAAACTTACGGTTCGTCCAATATTAGAGTATTGCACAGTTATCTATGGTAATATGAGAGTATCTGATAGAATTCGAGTAGAGAACATTCAACGTAACTTTACTCGGCGCCTACTAATACAGAACGAAGGACCTGCATACGAAGCAGGATGCAAAAAACTAGAACTAGAATCACTCTGGCTGAGACGCCTGAAGCTCAACCTAATCTTTCTTTTTCGTCTTTTATTTGGAAACTCTGAAACGAAATGTGCTATCACTTTTAAGTCAAATCCGGCATATAATCTGCGTAATAGCGAGTACACCATCCCAATAAATAAGTATCACTCAAAACTTCGATGTAGGTTTTTCATAACGCAATACAGTATGCTGTGGAACAAACTTCCCTCCACTATAAAAGAATTTCGATCTCTCGGCCAGTTTCAACGATTACTTAGTGAATTCCTCCTGTCTAACGATTCTCATCAATTCGCTGATGGCCAAACCACAAACGGTAATACCATGCACAATGGTACCTATACTCAAGGGACATAAACAGCAATGACAAAAGTATACAATGCCGAAAACTAAAAGCATTAGTTAAGTTAGAATCTAATTTCTAAAAACGAAAACTGACCAAGATTGAACAGGAAGTGGAGTGCTATACAGTTTGCAACAGTGAACTCTGTAGCTACTCTAATGTAACCTACATTTCTTCATAACCTAACTGATCTCACGACTTAACACCTAATTCTTAAAATTCTCCCCTTAAAATAATCTCTTTACTCCTGATTGATAAATGAACTGTTTGTCGGTGGATTTTCATAGCATGTAACATGTTTTAATATTGCCCTTCGTTATCAGTACTTACATGTAAGTACTCTGCACCACCATATTGTTTCGGTAGCGCCGAAATGGTAACACTCAACAGGCAACACCATGATCATCCCTCCCTCGTGACTAGATAAAGTGTGGTTACCATCTTAGAAAAAACCATGAATTTCATTTAAATGTTTATAACTTCATCAAACGTTTGTACATAGGTTTATAATAAGTGAATACCTGGTCCAAAATCCTTTAATCTCTCTATTTCGTAGTGATGTCTTTGGCTTCAGACTAATTTTCATTACTGTCGTGCGCATCTTCATCTTCTTCTACCTAAGCTTACCTCTAAACAGTTGGTTTTGGATACTTCTTCATATAAGTTGTATAGTCAGTACAAAGAACTCACCCAGATTTATCATGGTTGACCTACTCCTGCGTATGTTTATGCTCCTGTTTCGAATTTCACCCGCTGCTCGCTTTTGTTATTCACTTTTCAGGTTTACCTAACCAGTCCTGTATTCAAATGGAATCCTAGAAATCGCATTTGTCAGTGTACACCATACCATCAAAACCTTATGACGAATGCACACACCCTGAGGTCATGACTGTACTGCCTGCCCCACCTTCAAGAATATTGGAAGATTCAAACAATAACCGAATAATTCCTAATTTCGAACTAAGCCTGCTTCAGTATGCTGAACAATCATTCCGCGAAGCACTAACGTTCTTTTTCTAGACACACCTCTTATATGCCATGAATAACAGTATCTAGTGTATAGCTTAACATTGTACATAATAGTCATTTCTCATTACCAAAATGATCAAACCTGTAAACTGGTTTGTATTCATGCAACCTATGTTGTATGAAATATGTATGTATTATTATTATTATTGTGTGAATAAAAAGTTGGTAACCGACGGTGAACTACAGTCTATAACATCAAGCTATACTCGTTATTCAAGGAATGATTACGGTGGCTTAGTAGCCTCATGGATAACTCTCCACTGTTTAAAGCGAATGGTGCTGGGTCCCACCGTCATGGGGAGCAAATAAATCACTGATAGGAAAGTGCATCCGGTTGAGAAGTCATGAATAGGAAAAAACTTACGTCTTGGATTTGAGTTTCACACTTAAGTGAACGGAAAATATCGAGGCATTTTCACAGGGGACCAGATGCCAATAATGGCTGATTAATTCGATCTAATCAACAGCGGAAAATTACAAACTAGTAGTAACATTAATCGATTTTTTAAATGACGGTACACCCGTAAACCTTAGCATTTCCTTCTGAACACACGGGTCTTGGTTTTTAGACTTGGATCAACCAAGCTGACGAGATTCGATGCATTTCTCTTTTTCCTTTCTGCTTGGTAATGTAAATAAATGACCTGTCAAAGTCGACAACATACCCTTAGTCTGGAAGATTCATCCTCATATGACTTCTTGAAAGCTTCACTTTAGAATTGCTTAACCAGTCGAGTGAGTGATCTGTCATACCGCAACACAGTCGCCTCTTCGTATGATCAGTGCATTGGCCTCCGAGATGATATTTGAAATAATCTACGTAGTGTCAGAAGTGTCGAGGATTATTTGCTAGCTACTAAGGATCAAGTGTTCACATACCTCCAGCTCTTCATATAAACGTAAGAGAAACAGGAAGACAACTTCACTGAATACTTTCACCTCATTGAATCTGAGTGAGGAAACCAACATTTTTTACTACATAATGTTGTTCAAGATAGTAGTCATTTCCCGCGGACAGCATGTTCTTGATCCTGTAGCATTGTCTGCCAGTCAGTCACCGTTTACAACATATAAGAGGAAAACCTCAGAAACTGAAGTATCAGTCACTCTCACAGAGATCTTTTTGGCTAAATGTCCTTCTTTCTTCTTATATTAAGTTCTTGTAAGACAAGAGTTATCCTACATAAGTCAATGATTTCCTCCGTCAAACACTGAGATTGGCTGACATTTAGCTGTGGCTTAAATTTGACCCAAGAGTTATTGAATTACTACATGTTAGGAATCAATGGCAACAAAACCCTTCTGAATCTTTGTTTCATGGTTTTCAGAACTCATTAGTATAACGCATCTTCAATTGTTTTTCCTTCAGTGATTCGAGCCTGTTTCACTCAGTGCTAAAGTCTGAGATTTGGGAACTTTTATTGAAAAATTACTTACCTGGCCTGGTAGAGCTTCGGTTGGTTTCTTATCAGAAATAGCTCCAGAAATTATACCATCGTCTGCAGATACTGCATCCAATTCGGCCACTTCATCTGGCAGTTTATACTTTAAACCGAATTGTTGGAAACTGGGATTCACATCACTTAGAAGTTCAGCACTAGATTTAGCAGTATCATAAGATTTCTTGCTCTCGAAATCGACATCACTCATTTTTGATGTGACCATTTCACCACTGACTGCCTGACTGTATAAATCTTCACCCTTACCAAAGCCGAAATTCAATCTTCCTGGACCATCTGATTCACTGTCCATGCACACTGTGCTTTCATTGTCTGAGAACTGGCCTAGAAAAAAAAAGTAGAAAAGGGAAGTATGAAGGGATAATACGCTCTATAAAATGATGTAGACTTGCAGTCACAGAAGGAATTCTACCTCACAGTTAGCTTCATTGACAATGATTGCGTACTATTAATTATCCTGTCAAAATTGAATTAGATAGAGAATGAGGACTTTTGACCCAAAGGCCAGTTTCTATGTAACTGAGCTACATCTGCACTGACTAATTACTGGAGAGTAACCATTTTTATCTTTTCTAGTCCTAAGTGCTGAATGAACTCTATCGGTTATATTTGCAATGTGGCCACCAAGCTTGGAGACTCAGCATCATGGTGCACTTTGATAGATGTTAGTTAGTTAGAGGTAATCGACTGGAAGCCTTGATCATACTTGTTTCATACTTGTCGGCACTCATAAGCACAGTGTACCTGACCCATATTTATGTGAATGAGGCGAACTAATCCGTTACCCAGATGTTTATATGTACTGAAATGAATATTTTTCAGTCATTGTTTACCCAGATCCCAGTGAAGTACTACAATTTACAGTATGTCGCCTAATCGAATTTCACAAACATTCAACTTCTATGACGAATAGGCTGCGGGTGTACAGTTTTACCACTAGCCGAATGATCATCGTGAGAATCATGTACGAATTCCTAGCTACTGAATATCATTTATCTCCTTCAATTTCGATTATAGACAAAATAATATGGAGTTCTGATAGAGAAATAAAAGTCTTGACTAAAATTTGATCGTGAGAAGAAATTTGAGTAAGCCATCATTCGTGAAATGTGTCTTGGTCTTTAACAGTCAGGAGATGTAGTTGAATGGTAGGTGTTTGAACATTGCGCTGAAGCAGATAAGATCAACAGTGTGAGGGAAAAACTTGGGTACTGTGGTAGATTATAATTCTATATTCGATCGTTTATTTGATATACCACACAGTGGTACAGTATAATTTACTCGATGACGTTTCAAGCAGAATTTATTACTCATATTCATATCAAAGTAATCATACGACTTTCAAATTTCCTTCATGTAGTCCAACGGTTGTTTATTCTTTTATCTTAAAGGTAGTAAAATCTTTCAAATATCTGAAATATGTGATGAATCATTCCCGCTACATATGTTAGGTGTTGGCTCAATGAAGAAAGGATTCAGTGACCAATCTCTCCCTCCACCTAGCTAGATTGGATTTTAAAACTGTCATCCAATCCCACCCACTATATAGTGTGATTATGGGTGAGTGGATGCACAGTGGTAACCAACTTTCCCTCTAAATTGCTTGGCTTAACAGGGTCAACCATTGTCTGTTTCGTTAGATTTTTGTGTTCTACTATTCTGACTGACCCAGATTGGCTGCTCTGCCTACATACTTGACCTCACAATCATTAAATGGTATTTGATAGATTAGCTTGCTGTTGCTAATCGGCTCCATTGGATCTTTTAGCCTACAAAGTTTCTCTCTGAGCAAGTTTGTGGATTTAAATGCCACTGTAATCTCAACATTGTTAAGAATTCTAAGTAAAATTTCTGATATGCCTTCTTCATACGGCAACATTACAGAGGACTTGAATTCCCTCTTAGGCATGTTGCAATCACCATTAACATAAACAGTCTTTCTCTTATCAGACCTTATAAACTTTTTAATAAATTACGGAGGATAGTTACTAAGAATTAGTTTCTCTGTGATGTATTTCATTTCCGTATTTAGGCTTTCCGATTTACTAGTCAAACTCCTAGTTCGATTACTTAGACACTTTATCAAGCCTACTTTGATAGATATGGAGTCAGATGTAGGGAAATCCAAGTGCCATCCAAGAACTAATGCTGAATGCAGAAAATATGTAGACAAAAGTTCCTCATATGTCAATGATTTCTCTGGGACTCAAAGAACACCATAAAACAGTTTGGTATATTTCAATTCATTTCGGTTTCAGTTAGTCTGTTTTTCAATAATACAATCGACGGTGTGAATGACTGGAGAGCGGTTTGAGGAATAGCTTAGGATCACCGAAGGATTCACTCAAAGATATCAATATTTTAGAACCTCTATAGAAAGAATACACTACTTTGAATAAGCCCAGTTAATTACATTTTAATGAATATTCTGAGTTATGTACAGCATGTTTCGCTGTCAATTACCTTTCATTTCGGTTGCCAACAGAAGTTATCGATACCGCTTGTTCTTGAAAAACGTTCTGGTCCTAAACTGCATCAAGTCAACAGAATTGGATAGGCAATAAGCATTTTCTAGGGTAGTATTCATTACTGACTGACATCCGTTAGAGAACCTTCGATAACTTGGAAGCACTGGATAGCTGTTTCTTCCCATTATAGGACTCCTCAAAAGTACGCATTCAGTGGTTCCAACTTGAAAGTAACCTCCCCCGCCCCCCAAAAAAACCTCAAACTAAAAAAGTGCTTTCGTCATTTGTATTCTTATTGGTTCATAAATCTTCAGTCAAGGTCATTTAGCTGATCCAGTCATCCATGTGTGAGTAATATCGATACACTCATGAGTTTCACGTTATCGTTGAGAAGGATAACTGGGCTTAGTTAGATGAGCAGTAGGATATTTACACAGAACAGCAACCAAGATACATACAATAAATGGTAACTTTCAGGAGAACTGCCTCAACCTAACGAACCATAACATGAATTGTGGGCGAGACTTCGAGTAGATTAGCTTACGGTTCATCTTCAAAACTAGTTGGATCCAGTTAAGCTATTTTCAGAGTGTGACTCTACATGTCAAACAAGGCGGTCATAAACATGATCTAAACTTCCAGTCCTCATGCATTCAAATGACTCATTCCAGATAGTCTAGATTATAGTTTGCCCAAATCTGCGGTTTGTGTTCATTCTAGTAGTCTTATGTTTACCATTAAAATCTAAAACTTTCACATTGTACCATAGAACTTCAGTAGAAGATAAACATAGAGAATTGAACTTGAGTTTTTGGTGAACATGACCATTAAGTAAACTTCTATAAGTGATTGCTCAGACCACCAATCATAATTACTGGTTCATTCTTTATTTCACAGGGGATCGTAGTCGTTACTGGTGTTCTATTCAAGTTTCAAAGAGGAAAGCGATTTTTCTTATGGATGAAAACACTTGCAATACACTTTCGAAAACGTGTCACGATCAACGAATACTTAAGTATGCTGAAGCATAGAGATGACAGTTATATCTAAATCAACACTCTTTTCTCTCCTCTTACCAAGTTTTATATAACCTAGTTTGAGTTCTTTACATGTATCTTCCTGGATTTCACGAAGTATAAACACCTAAAAAACCTTGCAAACTGAACAAACGGAGTAACAATGTATTTTCTATCAGTTTTACATCATATATCTCTAAATAATATAATCATAATAAGTGTTGGCCTAAAAGAGGTCACTAACGAACCGTTCAAAAATGACGAAAATGTTTCTTTGTACACAAGTGACTTGACCTCATAGTTTATCAATTCTCATATGATGAGTTTACAGTCATGGGAATAGAAATGCTTTACCTACTTTCAAAGAAAACTAATCAAATAACGTCTAATAATAACAACTTGATTCATGTGTAAGAAGTAATTACTCACTATCAGCATCAAAAACTAAATAATCACGCGCATTTGATATTGTATGACTTCCAATTGTTATTTTTGTGCCTAGTATACGATTGTCAAAACATGTGAAAACCAGAGGCGGCCAGTACCGTTCATCTACAGGTAAATACTAGAAAAGGCAAAAAAACAAAGAAATTGAAATTAATAAACCTGGAATAAGTGAACAAGAAGACAGTTTATACCATGAATGAACACACATCACTTGATGATTTATCAAAAGATGGGATATACTCGATTGTTGATTTGTTTTAGTGTTCACAATGTTTGTTCTTCATAAAAAGAAATATGCATATGAGATTTCCGAAGAAACATCTGAGTATCTCATGAATTCAGTACCTTCAGAGGCCCAACAGTAAACCTTTGAATTTATATGCAGTAGTCCTTCAACAAAATCTTTATCACAGAATTTACAGATTTTACAGGATTTCAAAAGAATATCAAAAGCATAATGAAATTAATTTGTGATTTTTTGATTGCAAAATACTAAGGTTACCGTCTATAACAAATACACTGGTAAATACTTGAAAAGAATGGAGAGATCGCTTCATAAGAGAATTTTTGAATAAGTATGAACGAGCTTATTAGTGACCTGCCTAAAAGTACCCAAATACAGTAGTGATCTGTACGCGGCTGCCAGACGTCATCTTAGATAAATTGGGCTAATTATGTTTACGAAGAGATGAAAAGATTAGCGATGAACATCCAAAAGCCTAGCTATAGGTTTATAGTTTAAATAATGCGATTAGGTTCCTCAAAGGCATTAACAATCACTTGGCAACACGATCAGTAGTACTTGTTGAAGTCTTTTAACCTGTTCAACATAATAAGCTGAACTGAAGTTCTAGTACTCATACTTCATCGATTCGATGTTTACCAATATAATGTAACTGAATACTAATTTCAGCCTCTGAATAAAAGTGACCGGTAAGAAAAATCAGGCGTTACTACGTAGTTAAATAGAAACCATTTACACAACATGTAACTGGTGGTCAGAAGATGTAACTAGAGGAAAAACTTCAAATTAACTGGGTGTATATGACCGAACTATGGTATGGGGAACTAGTCAGGTAGACATTACAGTGAACTGCTCATTTATGAGTCTTTTCTTAATCAACGAAACCTCAGCCATCATTTGATCACCGGACCATTTATAAACTGCAATACTTGGTGAAACTCTGATGTCGTGTAGATACATCAAAACAGATACGAAAAACAGTTTTACTATTTGAGATAGCCGTGGTTTATCTAGCAGACCTTAATTATCAATACAGGGTGGTGACTGAACCAGAGGTTGCTGCTTCAAATCCTGTCGCTACACAGGTTTTCATTTCACCTTTATTCATCACCTACACATGAAAAATCACAAATGATATAGGCATTGTTTAACACTCAGAGAATAATAGTTTTATAGAGCCTGATTCTACAGGGGGACATTTGTGGCGTCAATTATTAGAAGTCTTTTAATTTATCACTGGTTAACAAAAGTTCCATTATGTAAGGAGATTCAGCTTTCCCGAAGACTACAGATATACACTTTCCTATTGAGGGTCAACAAGTGGAAACTGAAATGCACAGACTCCTTACGAATGTTCATGACATCTACTACCAAACTCAATATGTATAAAAATACAGAACGCTTTTTAGCATAGCATTAGTCATAACTTACAACATCCATAGCCTTCAGTTTAGTTTCAAATACGGGTAGTTTAGATAAATCATTGATTACTTCAGATTCTAATTTATGACCACCGATTTCGACTACTACACGCGGTCGTCTCACAGGCAGTAGATGTTGACGTACCATACCCCATACACTCCAAAAGAGCTAAAAATAAAACAGTGGAAACATTCTTTTGTTATTCGAACGAAAAAGGTTCAGCCAATCAAATATCAGCAACTGCCGTGACTGTTTTCTCATAAAAGCGAACTAGTTAAAATAACGAAATAAAGCTCTGAAATTTGAGTGAGTTGCTTCACTCCACTTGAGCTATATTCTCCTTTAGACCCTTTAAAGGTCAATAGAAATAACCAGCATAGTCAGTTGTTCTAGTATGGTGATGGAACTGATCATCTTAATGATTTATCCGAGTGATTGCTATGGAAACAGTTAATCCTTCAGGTGCTATTATGCCAAAAAGGTGAATCAGAGAATGATAGTGTGTAGACCCTAATCAGACAAGGAATTGGGAGAAATTTTCCACTACAGGTACATGTGTAATCATGCTTTCTGATGAGGCACACCAAAAGTTCTAAAAACTATCTTATTTGAATGCGGGAGTGATGTGTAAGCGAATGTTTGTCTGAGGAATGACACAGCGAAACAGAAGCACTGATTCAATAACTATTCCTTAAAAAAATCAAATTCTTACAAAAGGAGAGAGAACTAAAACTATATAAACAACAGTATGGAAGCTATCTGATACACCTATGTATAATAAATGCCATCCAAAACGTTAAGCAGTTGAACAAAATTATTTCAGTACGCTATATGTCTCTTAAACAAGCTAAAATGCCATAAAAATCTGCGACAATACCGAAATTACATTCTCACATAACGAAAAAATAGTATAGAAATGAATACAACGTTCTTGTCCTGATAGAAGGCGAACACATGGGCAACCAAGTGAAGCAGTCTCTTGTCAAGCATATTCAACTTGCACCAACGAATAATTCATTTCAGTGACCAACTTTCCATTCAATATAACATCCTTACCCATAAACAAAATAGCTTGAAACTCACAAATATGCATCAAAATTTGACTTCTCTTAGGAACAGTAAATAACTGTAAGTGAAGACGTGACCATACTCTTCCAAGTCATGATCAACTGTGAAAGTTCAATCGACACTTCATCCTCCTCGTATTCAATCTGACCAGATTCACATGAAGCTGTTGAAATTATGGTCATCAATAGTGTCAATAACAGCCCCACTTCCTCTTTATAATGAGCAGCCATACAGAACTAGGTGGATTCTACTACAAAGTAACAGCTATCTTCTAATAAAAGAGAGATGTAACAGTGTAGAGAATTCGTTTTCTTACAATATCAGTTGCCAAGCTTATTCACTCGAATTGTTTTACAACAAAACAACTGTAAAAACAACAAGGAATTCAGACCAATAGCCTACTGGCCATGTATTCCGCAAGACTGTTACTCAATCAGGGGAATAAATTAGGAGAGAGGTGAAGTAGTGAAAAAAACTGCAAGTGGAAGGAATTACTACATAAACAGTATGAATATAACCTAGTTGACTTGGAACTGCCAATAATAAAAATGATGTACATTCCCTGTTTTTCACATTAACTATGAAATTACGGTAGGCAATGAGTTAAAAATTTCTTTGTGAAATCCTGTTTGAAAAGGATTATCCACCAAGGCTTTGTCATGCAAGAAAATTCAAAATCACTCCAGTTATTTCCCATCTGACTTTGGAATTCATGTGATACAGAGTCTTAAATCCTCGAAAATCATATCTCATGATGTCACAGGAAGACATCATATGCAGACAGCTAGTAAAAAAATTGATCAATCAATTTTTTTAACAACGGGCTACTATTTTTGGCCACTGCAGTGTGCATCTGTCAACCGACATGATCCTCTGTATAAAAATGTACATTGCCTTTACACCTAGAATACTTACCTACTTGACGAGTCAAAGGAGAGAAACTATAAATATAAAGTGTTCATTCTCGACAGCCTTGTCATTCATGAACATCTAAGCACCCAAGTTGTTCCTTCAAAGTATCCCTTCATATCACTTCAAAGGAAGCCGACTACGTAATCTAAAATGATCCGATTCATACCCCCCATATTTAATCCTTGCATCCGTAACTGATAAATACACTCACTAACCAGAACAGTATATCCACTTTAATAAAGTTTTTCTATCTCCCCTGTTTTATCGATCCATCTATATTAACTTTTAAGCTAACATATTGTGTAATAGTTTCAACTGTGTGCTATTGTTAAACCTGTTTTGTTGAAAATCGTTTCCAGTGAATAAGCTTGACAACTGAGATTGTACGAAAGCAAATTCTCTACACTGTTACATCTCTCTTTCATCAGAAGATAGCTGCTACTTTGTGGTATGATTCACCTAGTTCTATGTGGCTGCTAGTTCCCCTCATGATAATCGTATGACAATTCTGTTTATTATTTTACTGATAAAGAGAAAGTGGGGCTGTTATTGACACTATTGATGACCATAATTTCAACAGCTTCATGTGAATCTGGTCAGATTGAATACGAGGAGGATGAAGTGTCGATGAAGTATGTGTTGATTAGACTTTCACAGATGACAACGTCTTCACTTACAGTTGTTCATAGTTCTCAAGAGAAGTCGAGTTTCGATGTTTGATTATGAGTCTCAAAATATTTTGTGCATGACAAAGGAAGGTACACTGAGTGGACAAAACATCGTTTCACATGAATACAGAAATAAAACGTGGGCTGTGTGGTAGACTGTGATTTCCTTTTAGCCTGCTTATTAGAATTAACACATAGTGAAACAGAGTCACTTGCTGGATAGAGTTTCGGACATAGTTTATTGACCGTATTCATATCAGGTAATTCCACATCTTCTGCTACCTAAACTTCAATCCTTTCACTTCATCTCAGGTAACGTAGACTTGGCTAAATGTCCAAGTGATAGGGTAAAACAGTTCACAAGTAGGACAGAAAATCTGAGAACCGAGATTAGACACAGCAAGAATACTTCACTTCTCAATAACTACTTACCTAGATTTATTAATAAGTTCATAGGGAATCGTAAGGAGAATACGAGCAGTTATAGTAGGTCAGGAATGAATGATAATTCTACTACTAATGGTAAAAATGGTGACGGAGTTGAGAGGGAATTCAAAGCCTCTGATATGTCAACCTACATAGAAGTCAGCTGAGAAGCGCCAAGAAGAGTTCTCAATCAGGTTGGGATTAAAGTGGCATTTCAACCAACAAACTCCCTTACAAACAAGCTTTATAGGTTAAAAGATCTTATCGATGCAATTAAGAAAAATAATCTGGTTCACCAATTCCCTTGCAATGATTGCCGGGCCAAATGCATAAGTCAAAGTGGTCGACCAGGTTCAATCAGAATAACAGAGCACAGAAATCTACCTAAATCAAGATGAGTAGATCCTTATGAGATAGGGAATTCAGAGAAAAGCTCGGTTATACCTATGCACGTAACTGCACACAGTAGGGAGAGATAGAACAACGGTATAGAAATTTAATTGAATGGAGGGAGGGAGAGAATGATAACCAAATCTTTGTCTATCGAATCAACACCAAATACATGCAGTAATACAAATGATTCTGCACTTATCCCAGATATATCGAAAATTCTATTACCCTTATCATTAGAGAGAAGGAGAGATGATTAGAACTTCATAAACGATGTCTCAAAGTTGTGGAGTCACCTGATATGAATATGGACAATAAATCATGTCCGAAACGTTATCCAGTAAATGATAATGTTTCATTGTGTGACATTTCTAATAAACAGACTAAAATATAAATTGATTAGCTAGTTAATTTCTAATACTCTCTTAATCGTCTTCTGGAGATGAGCTAAATACGGTAGTGTAGATTCTTATTTTTAATAGTACGTGCATAAAGTCTTATGTACTTGCTCCTTGTCCTTGTGGATAACCAACACACAAAGAGCTTTGAGTGAATAGGATGCTGATCATCTGACAGATGTTCACATGAGTTGTTAATATATTTGTCTACAACTGTTCTAACTAGAAGGTTATGAGGTACACCACTCATTCTGCTGACAATCTTCAAAGTCCTACCCAACATAGCCTAGTCTTTCTCAACAACCCGGGGAATAATAAAGGAGGACAATGGAGGAGAACATGCAAGATACAGGAGTTTTTAGAACACAAGAGAATGAAGAGGCTGAACTACACCAGATACCCTCGGCTTCCTAACATACAATGCTAGGTGGAAAATTCCTCTGGAAATTAGCAAGATATGGGAGGACGAAGAAAGGTTCGAAGAGAAATACACACCAAGATAAATCGCACTTGTAACATTCTCCAATGCACAACTATCAACAGAACAGGAATCATGAGAACTAAGCAGTTTACATAGGTTATATTCAAGTCTGAAATGAAAGGTGATAGTTTGACATTGTGAAGAACTAAGCATAAGGCCATTCACGGAGTACCGTCATCCAACAGTAGTTAGGAAATCATTCAGTTGATGACAATCTGTTGAAGAGGAGACAGGTATGAAAACTGTCAGATCATCAGGATATTTGATGAAATTGATACCAGCTGAAAATAGTAAGTCTATCTGTCGATTAAATTTGATTTATCTTAGACGAACAATAAAACACGAGGTCAGTGTAAATTACAGAAATGACCTTGAAATCCTGCAACTCTTTCAACTGAACACTTAATCTAGTTTGAAATATCTATATGAATCAGGTCCCATGTGATATACAACTTCTTTTCTCCTCCTTTTATAGATGATACAAGAGAACTCGTAGACTGGTGTCATACGACCACACCGCCAATGATACCATTAACAGAGGATAAAGAATATTACTACTTGAATTTCGGTAAAAGGAAGCCATGTGTATATTTGACAGGCTATTATGAAGATCATCGTTCAAGAATGTGTATACCGAATATTTTAGAGAAATTAAGTGAAGAGTTTGTAAGTAGTATTGAAGTAATATGTGTATACACTTATTTTCATTTGTTTTCAAATATGTCGTTAATTGTTGATGTTTTTAATTTTTCAGCAAGAGTTGGAAATCAACTTTCTTTAAACTTCACATATTAATTAACCTGTGATCCTTACATGCTTACTGTAGGGTAAGCGAGTTATCAATCCGATGTCCGATGGGCTGTGTCAGTCTGGATGTGTCCGATGGGCTCTGCAGTCACACAGATCTCTTTCAGGTCCATGAAGAAGAAACAGTCTTCCACGGTGTGGGCAGCTGGGATGTGTCAACCGCCCTCACAACTCTATCAACAGTCAAGTTTCCTCAGACTGCTATCCACCTCCCTCATCATTACCTTTTAATCTTCCTTCAACTCTCTCAAAGAACCATACTACATGATCTTCATTTCTTCTAGCTTTTCAGCCTTCGACAACGATCCGTGTTCACAGAACAGTATCATTGGTCTCCTTAAATCAGGTTCTAAATTACGCATTGGAGCTTTCAATGTCCGTACCCTCCGTCAAATTGGTCAACAGGCTTCACTGACCGAGACTCTATCAACTCAGGCAATAGTTGTACACTATGTTTGTGAGGCTTGCATATAGGAACCAAGTGCAGTTAGTCACCTAAACTCTCTCGGCCAATCTGGAGAATGCGCAAAATTCACCTTTCGAGTTTCTGGAGATTCGATGGCTAGCTATCGTTGTCTTGAAGGAGTAGATAAAGCATTAAACACTAAGTCAGAACACACATTACAAAACCCGATCCAAATTGATAGTCACCTTTGCGTTGTCTGGCTCAACGTCACGGTGAGAACTAATAGGCGTAGTGAAAATGGTCGATGTCTCCTTCTAATCTGTGCCTACGCAAACACTGACTGCAGTTCCGAAGAAGAGAAGGAAGAGTTCTACAAAAAATGGCTACGATAGATAGACAGACAGATAAATAGATAGATGGATAATTTTGATCATGGATTGTGGTTCTTCCATCTAGACTCAAATCAACCCTTTTCATTTTGAAACACCCAATTTTCATTCACTTTGGTTCTGATTGAATATAACCACCTTTTTTGCAGCCGGAGTCAGGTGTTACGAGGATCGACTTGGTTCAATAACATGAACAACACTAAACTTTATGAATGAAGCTGGATATCGTCTAGGTAAGTTTTTTGTACATTTCACCTTCAGGGACTGAGCTTCTTGCATTTGGCCCAAATGAGACTCTGTTAAGCATAAAATAAAAATTTGGATAATGTAATTAGAAGACGTAGATTATCTGAAAAATGTGATGTATTAGGGCTATACATTTCGAACAATCTGATCACACATTTACTTGTTAAGGCATTATATATGAAAACTGGAAGTGGGGGAAGGATACATATGACATAAAGGAATTCAATAAAAAGAAAGATAATGAGAGGAATAAAAGATAAGACTTGAAGACAATCTTGGTAATACGATAAAATAAGCATTACCAAGGTAGGCTTAATGTAAGGACAAACTGTTTTTGCACACACAATGGGGGGTTAAATTTATTTATGGCTAGCGCCTCAACAAACTTAAGTATACGCCCCTGACAGTTTCTGTACAAAATTGTAAAGGCTGTTTTGATATCAATTCTGTGACTCTTATCAATGATATGTTTCGCAATGGATGATGATGGTTGTCTGCCATCTGCGCTTATCAATGTTTGTGAATCCAGCTGCTTTCGTAGCCACTTTGGAACATGTTCCCCTACCCTCAAGTGCATATCACGATTCGTCCTCCCTATGTATGTTTGTCCACACACACATGTAAATTTATAAACGCAGTGGGATGTGACACAATCGTTTATACAGCGTTGAGGTCTAGGTAGCAGCAGGTGTTTGGTCTTCTCAACTATGATAAGCTTAGCTGCATAGTACGTTTTGCTAACAGCAGACCTTAACTTTCGTTTTAATATTATGCTATTACATTCTCCTCTGTATGGTAACGCGATGTAAACGCATTTCTTCGAAACAGAGCACAGATCAGGTTTGAATCCTCGCTGATTTTTGCAGCGGTTTATGAACTTCAATGGATATCCATTTTCCACTAATGTTTCCGTTAGTATTTTGATATCATCATCCATTGAGTCCTCCGTACAAATATGCTGGATCCTTTTAAATAGACAAGTTACCAAACCTCGCTTGTATTGGGTTGGACAAAAGCTATGGAAACTTAAATACTGACCTGTCCAAGTAGGTTTCCTGTAGATCGACCGTTTTATTGAACCATCATTTCTACGACTTAGGAGTATATCCAAGAATGGCAGACGGTTTTCTTTTTCTTCTTCACGTGTCAGGCTTATGTTGTTTTGTACGTTGTTAAGTCTTTCTAACAAACATGTTGCATCTTCATGCTTATCACATATCACGATTATATCATCAACATAGAGAGTAACTTTATTGATGAGATCGCCGGTCAGGCCCTCAATGTGTGACATGTAAATATCAGCTAGCAATGGTCCTAAGGGACTTCCCATAGCCACACCATCTATTTGTCGAAAATGTTCACCTTCAAATGTGAAATGAACTTTATCAGTACACAATAATAACAGCTCTCTCAAACACGTTGAGGGGATAGGGAAAGAAGGATTACTGGAAGATATATCACAAAGAATGTCAATGGTTTTAATTAGGGGTACATTAGTAAATAAGGAGTTGACATCAAATGAATACAATCTCTTATCTTTGATATTAATATCACTGACATAATTAACAAGTTCAAAAGTATCTTTTAAAGAAAACTTACATAAATCATTTCGAATAGGAATTAGAGTTTTTGCTAACCATTTCGCCACTTTATGTGTAGGTGAACGGAACATGGAGAGTATAGGACGTAAAGGATTATCTGTTTTATGAATTTTAGGCAATCCATACAGATTAGGTAGCTCAGACCCCATTGGTTTGAGGGAAGCAAATTCTTCCTTGTTGATAACATTGATATTCAGGAGTTTTACTAGACTAGATGTTACTTTGCATTCTAATTTTCTAAGGTCGTCTGATGGAACATCGCTAAGGATGGACATCATCTTGTTTTTGTAATCACATTTGTCCATCACAACCACACCCGACCCTTTATCGGGTTTGAGAATGATTATATCAGATCTATTTCGAAGTCCTTTTAGGGCTTTGAAATGTTGTGAAGTTAGGATACTTCGCTGTCTTGGGCCTGAACTATGGAACTGATGGGCAATATCCACCAGCTTAGCCTTAAACCAACTCTGATTATCTGAGGAGGTTGGAACAAGGGGAAATAACTGATCATAAAGACTTTCAAATTGGGCATCAATAGCCAAATCCGAAACTTTCGTGTGGGGAACCGAAAAACTGAATCCAAGGGAAAGCGCCTCCTTCTCACACGTCGAAAGTTGAATAGACGATACATTAGTCACATATTTATCTGGATTAATTGGGAATGAGATAACATGAGACTCATTAGTACAAGATTTTGACAGCTTCTGTTTTGTCTTCTCCTTCGATTTAATGATGACAGAACTACAAAAATTGACGAACTTGATATGACAAATTAATGAAATATCAGATAGTACACATGAAGAATGAACATGAAGTTCGACTAATCCATTTAACTTCTCACTGCAACTATCAATATGAGATCTAGCGAGTCGAACGAGGTTTGAGATATTTGGTTGCAATTTTGTGAAACGTAAGGTTTTATAAAAATGTCTAGGAAAAGTGTGACTTGAAATACAAGATTTGTGTGATCAGATTGTTCGAAATGTATAGCTCTAATATTTTTCAGATAATCTACGTCTTCTTATTACACTATCTAAATTCATAAAAGGGACTAATTGTTTCACATAAAATAAAAAGTTTATTTCCAGTGTTACTACAGTGGCTTTTATTATTTTAGCATTCCAACTTATCAACTCTCCAATGTATATAAATAATAGTGAGGATTTTTACAACGGGATTAAGGAAGGTCTTTGATAAACTACAGTGAACCAACTGCTTGATGTGTTTCAAAAACAACTTATTGGTTTAAATACCATTGGAAGATAATATACTCCGGGTCAGAATTCACTGTATATGCATGATTTTAATGTCAGAACAGCTTAATTCAATCAATCTTTATTTGATTCAAACAACTGAGCTAAAACCTGTAGAAGTGTAAACGTTGATTAACTGGACTGCGTTACTGAGCAACTTAGATTATTTTTAGGTATTATTGATGGCTAGAGGTTTGAAGTGGGATCCAGGACTCACGTTTTTTCCTATCTGGACTCGTCAGCCTCCTAAAGCGTGATCTTGTTGCCACTAAAGTTTTTAATTTCATAACATACCAATTAGTCAGACTCTAGAGAACGATTTAAGGCATGGGACAGTAATTTTATGTACGTAAAAGTTAGTCTTTAGAGGATTCGGTTGGGTAAAGTTTTGATGAGACATTTAAACTGCTCACACTAATGTGCTAAATAAGATTGATTGGTCAGTTACTTTCAGTGAAGATTCCAAAAAGCTCTATAATCAAATGCATACTAGACTTCAAATTTGATATCAACGCTATCTAGTCTTTTACGGTGGCCGGCGGATAACGCAATAATAAAAAAACTGCTTTCATTTGCAGAAGCCTGTACAATTCGAGTTAATAGTGTTCAGAAAGAAACAGTTATAGCACTTAATTTGCTTCAGTAACATTTGAAATGCACTGCAAGTTCACTAACTGTTTTTGTTCCTGTCTTATTCTTATATGTCTTAGTAACTTTTTTCATTTGTTGGGCAGATTTGTTGTTTGTATTCATTCATCAACCATTTTATTCACCATAACGTAACTGGAAACTAGAAATGAAGATAAGCAAAATCCTGGTGTCCATTGAAAGTGACACTTGGTTTAAAAAAATATCACTTAGCGGACCTACTACTTCCATCCTGAAACGCTGTAACGGTGGACGAATATTATCTGGTATCCGATAGTCGCCTTTACGTCTGACCAGAACAAGTTTAGGCGGTGCCATACCAATTTTAATTTGTTTCCGCTTTGCATTATTCAACCTCTGTTCAATACTATCACGATCCAGTAGTAATGCTGACTCCGTATCGAATATATCATCGTATTCATCATCAAATGGATTGGTTAGTGCTTCATCTTCTTCGACATCTGAATCCCTGTTCAAGTCGTCCTCATCGTCCAGATACATGCCTGGAATACTTTTCAGGATGACACGATCATCGAATTCTTTAGTGTAAGCAGCTAGTTGTTCAAAAGTTGGCAAATTTTCGAAAGGAACTTGTGAATCTTCCTGTGAGGGTAGAAAACAGCAATAATAACAACAGTAAAAATAAGTCACATGAGAAAGATAATTGGTAACGATCGCTTTCTATGAAACCTCAGTTTTTGAAGTTAATGATATGGATGTTGATATGGGGATAAAGATAAAAGACTTTTAGAAATTCCCATCATGATGTGATAAATGTTTAAAATGACGATGGAGATAATACTAGAAATAACAATAACGATGGTCATTAAGTGATAACGTTGACTAAAGCACCTGGAATATAATTGAATTTCGAGGTAGTTGTGGGGATTCGGAAATATTATTCATCATAGACTGATATCAGTTGGAGGAACAAACGAAACATATTATATTATTACCATATATATTATATTATTTTACAAATCCAAATCCCCACAACTCCCTCAAAATCCAATTGTTCAATTGCTCATTGGTGACTAACTTCGAGAGGTATTCCCGAAGTTCCAATGAGAAGTCGTGACCGGTAAGGACAAAGCCTGATGGTCGTGAGGACAGTTACTCAACGATGACATTGGGTGTCGGTTGCGCTATATTGTGAGCTAACAGAAGTTGGGAATATGGACCATTGGATTCCAACCCAGTGGTTCAATGTTAACGTGCAGGCCACGGAACCTGAAGGTCACGGGTTCGATCCCTGGAGGGCGGTGTTGTGGGTGCGCACTGCTGAGGCGTCCCCCCATACTAAAACGAAGCAGCTGTCCAGTGCTCCTAGATTTCCTTTGTTCCTCCAATTGATGTCAGTCTACGATGAATAACAACTTGAAACATGAAATGTAGATGATAATGGTGATGAGAACTAAGAAAGCAGCATGAAAATATCGACACTTCGATAAACAAAATGTGTCCAAAGCTTGTGAAAATAGAAGTTACGTAATAGCGAAGAGCTAGATAAGTGGATAAACAAAGCCCAGATAAATACAGTAAGTAAATGAAAGGGGTGGAGAATAAGAAAAGGGGTAGGAAGATAAACTGGATGATAAAGTTATAAACTAAGTATTCCCTGGCCAAAGGAGAGATAAGGGATGGACAAATTTCTCCTGGATACAAAGGCTAGGACTATTGGCTCGGATTCCCACAGCTTCTGCTATGTGTAAAAAACGAGTTTTAATACCTTTCGAAAGATGAGATGGTATGCGCTGTATAATCGTGAAAGCAATGATCTTAACTACTGGGTGACCAATATCAACGAGGTGAGATAAAACCAAACTTATGATAGATTTTATCTGTCCCTTTCACAACCATGAAGGCAGACGCTCAGCAACACGTTTGTTAAGTTGTCTAGTCGTACACCCTATATAACTTTCTCCACAGGAGCAGCTAAACTTGTAAATACACATAGAAATGGCAGGACTAGATAACTTATCTTTCGCCGAGGCAGCAACAATTGGTAGACTGAAAAATGATAGCCAAAGTTGTGCGGCATTCAAGACATTATATAGGAACAGTCGGGGACGCATACTGAAATTTATCGAAGCGTTAGCCATTCGTAAAATTAAGCCCCGCTGTGCGTACAAAACTAATTTGTTATTTCACTCAATTTACCTTGGTAATCCTTATCTGATTATATTACCAAGACTAGTGTCACAACCTTTTCAGATTCATTATATTTGACCTTAGTTTTCATATATAAATTGACCTGACAAGTAAGTGTGTGATCAGACTGCTCAAAATGTATTGCGCAAGTATATCACATTGTTCAGATAATCTTCACTGCCCACGACGAATATTCGAATTACGGATCTCTTAGCTCAGTTGGTAGAGCATCGAGCTGGAAACCCGGTGGTCGTTGGTTAGAATCCGGCCGCAGGCCAGATTTTCATTTCCCCTTCAATCATTACTCAGTATGAATACTAGTCTGCCAAATCACAGCTATCTGAGATGGTCAAAATGATCACAATGAATGTATAAACTGCATTGCTGGAGTAAGATTTCGTTTTTCCAAATGCGTACTTCAGCTAGTAAAGGATTCAGTGGGCTACCTACGGCTACCCCATCAGTTTGACGATATCGAACGAAATCAAACTGAACATTCTTAGGTATTGACAGAAGATAGAAATTCGAAAGCTGGCAGACAACTTCAGTGGTTTCTGGAGGAGGCACTCTTGAGAATTAGGAGACCATATCGAGAATCGTTCAGTCCATCAAACTTAAGTGAATCCTTAAGAATTTGACAAGCAAGACGTCAGCGAACACGTCCCAAATTTTTACCAACCGGTGAGCTACTTTTTGGCAAGGTAAATAATTTATTGGCAGTACAGTTCCCATGTTTCAATTTTATATTAATGATGGATAGTGACTAGCAGTGGAATCCAGGACGCGCATTTCGTCCTATTTGGGACTTCTCATCTGGATAAAGCTGCCTCCCAGTAAGCAGTCACTTCTGACGCTATAGCCTTGTTCATTAGGCTACAGAGTCACTATAGTAGCATCTTTTGGGACGGGTATAGCTTTTATGCTGGCACTTGTATTATCCCATAGTTGATTGGATCGATTGATCGTTCTATACTGGTATATGGGATCCTGTACGGATGCCCTGATATTGCCTGTCGTTTCTACTTTATATCTTAATCTAATATTTGCAAATCAAGAAATGCAAGCTACTTGACTTATGTCCACATCTCCAGGAAATGAGACTTGCGAATACGCTTGTTTTTGATAAAGAAAGCTGACTCAGTGCCATAGTGTTTGACTTGCATTGAATGTGGCACATAAAAAAAGCAGTTTAAAACTCTTATTTCACGTATTCTACTAGGGAGTGCTGAGAACTGAGAAACCGATGTAGACCATTGACTATTTTATCCGTCATTATCCTTCGACTACTGTTAAAAATAAGACGATGATTTCCCAAAAGTATGTCAGTCTGTCACTCAGAGAAGGAATTAATTGACTGAACTAACCAGATAGAAAAAGGTTACCGAATAGCGACGGGTTTCGTTGTTACGTCCTCTGTACTAATCAACATTCATCGATGACGTCTGAAATGCTATCATGCTACAGCTGACTATTTCTGTGTTGCATATTAGGAGTAAATCATCATTTCGGCAAATGAAGTCTATATTTGAATGCCCAACTGTTCACCACATTAAACTCTAATTCAGTGTTAACTAATCCCAAAATAATAAATGTTCTTCAGTTGGATTTCTAGTTATATGAATGCTTGAAATTTGTGTAAAAGATGATATTTAAAGGTCAATAAAGTCATCGTTACCTGAATTAAATCGAATGCAGCGAGCAACTCTCCACCCGGTGTTTGTCCTCGAAATATTGGCCACCATTGTAAGCGTGGTGGTTTATACTTTTCTCCATCTAAAGTTACATTGATCTCACAGAAACAACGTCCCAAGAATTCTAAGTCATTCTATGAAATGAAAAAACACATTTGGAAAACTTATTACTAGTATATATGTGCAAACACTTTGAACTTTGCTGTTTACCCGATGTTGGCTAACAAGAGAATCTAGGAAGTCAGTTTTGTCCTAGCCAAAAGTAAGCAAATTACAATGCTGAGGTATCCTCATAGGAGTCTGTATGTCAGTGAAAATCGATCACTTCAATCTAGTGTAACAAAAAGTATCAGTGAATAATGATAATAACAACTCATACCTGTTGTATAAAATAGGGGTTTGGTGACTGACTAGCGCAGTCGATAGTGCTCTAAAAGTTAATGAGATGGATGGTGTTTTCGAGTGACAGTGTGAACACTATCGCTCACTGGGTTGCAGGTACATCCAGTAACGAGGTCCAAATAATGTGGAATCTGATTTCCAGATCTTTCTGCTAACTATCACCACCACCAAAAAAATCAACATAATGAATAGGAGTGACTTTAAAGGCTACTCTAGCAACAACTGTAATAACCAATTAGACTTGTCTATTTTATGAAAATCTACCTTTCCTACCAAAATGAAGCAATTTAATTAGCTATTTCGATCGTTACTAAGATGATTTTTAAAATTCACCCAATAAAAGAGTTAAACAAAATTTTATACTTGAACTTTCTAAATAATCTTTTTGCATAAATTGCACAACTTACACCAGGATCGACATCGAATACTTCGACAATAAGTTCTTGTAAACTTTGTTTTACTGATTTCGCATTTTGATAAAATGTCACTTGTTTATATAGTAAAACATCCCACATTGGACTCATAGTCTGATATAGTACTTGTGTCTGTAGTACATGTGATCCAATCAGTATTCGAGCTACTGGATCTGACATACCGGAAGCATCAGAGGCTATTAAATCACGAGCTATGAATATATAACATCTTAGCTGAAAACGACTGCTCTCTGAGAATAAAAAGATTAAACATAAAATATTATGATTATTTTTAAACAGTAAGATATTTTCATGCACAAAAATGATTGCACAGCTGAATGATACGTGTTATTTTTAAGTAAGTGTATGTTGGTTGGTCACTGGAGGGTAACCAACTTCATGTTGTCTCTTTCAAAAATGCTAATCGAATTCCATAGATCATTTTTGAAATGTGTCCACTAAGCTAGCTGACTTATCATTACAGATACACCTTGCTAATGAGTGACAAAAGTACCAAATCTAGATCCAGAACTACTTGTCAACTGCCTCCATCCAAATAACATCGATCAAAGTGAATCGGGATGTTGAATCAACTAGCCTAGTGGTCACATTAAATACACAAATCCAATATGGAGATACAGGTTTTAGTTTGGTATGAATTCTTGTTTATGTCTTATGTTATGACCGTCGGAAGAAAGGAGTATAAAACTATAACAAACATTACTGGCCGAATTATTTAGTTAATTCTAAAAATATTTATTGTGATTATTTGTCACATGGCTCCCTAGTGGAACAGTGGTGGTCGAAATAGAAATGAATGGTTAAAGACATAACGTGCTGAGGTAGTTTTTGAAGGATGACCTTGTTGAACAGACCAGCAGACCGATCAAAATAATTTATTCAGTCTTTTCTTGGCAGATTTTTATGCATATTGTTATGTTGTGCTGAAAATTTTCTAGAATCCTTCAAAAAAGCCCAAAATCCTTTAAGTTTAAATATTCGTGGTGTTTCAATAAACCTGTTACCTCACTGCCTTTTATCTTTTCCGAATAACCATCTAGGTTAGAGTCTAACGTTTGTTGTCCAAGCTTCCATATGTATAGATCTGGTTGTACATAAGAATAGGCATATGTATAATGCATTTTCACCTGCTAAAGATATTCTTCGCAGTCACTGACCACCATTCATTTTTAGGGATTTTCTGTCTCAGAGAAGCACAAGCTACTTGGAGGCAGTGGTCTTTGCTCGAGCACAGTGTGAGTGTATTCACGAGTTTGATAACGCCATCTAGTTACCTACTTACTTACTCAATCACTTCATTACTTACTTACGTCTGCGATTCACATAATCATTGTAGTAAGCTTCATAGATTGCTAAATCACTCAACACAAGATAGATTTGCATATAATCCTCACAAGTTCCTTTTTCCACCAGATCTGATATGTCACCTAATTTTGTGAAACCCTTGTTGCCCCAAAGTTAATTTAATGTCAGCTGCCTGTGAACCGTTATTTACCTTCTGCGTGTATGCGATGTAAGAAACTCTGAAGTTCACTGATATACGTTCGGTTGTGCTGATGAGCGTTTAAAAGAAAGAAAGAAGAATATTTAGTCCAAGAAATCATTACAGAAAGAAGAAGAATATTTAGTCGAAGAAGTCATTACAGAATCTCATTTTTCTAACAAATAAACGCTGACCACTGCAGAGACGTTGCGCATTAGTATGAAAACAAATATTTCAACTTTGATTAGATTTATTGATAAACTCCAAAACTGATTTTCTATGATAACAATCAATGCCACAAAGCTTTCAGGAGATTTCTCATCGACAGATCGTCTGGTCGTCGAAACTCTCTACATTAATGATATCGTATGAAAATAAATTTTCGGAAGTAACTATTCAGAAAGATTCTACCGAAAAAATTGAACAGAATGTCACTTTAATTCTCAAGAAAAAAACGGGTCGATAACCGATACCAGATCATTCGAACAATTATGACCTCTAGTATTATTGTTATTATCATCATCATCATTTTCGGTCCCTAGTCCGAATCCGGGTGGGGACAACATCACTCACTGGGAGGCAGATACATCCAGCTGACGCGCATTCTGGATTTCACTGCTAACCACTACCCACCATTACTACAATTGTGACCTCTACTTTGATAGTTTCAGAAATGCATGGTGATAAATGATCACTTTGTTCCCCTTTGTATATGAACAACTCACCGTATCATGTAATCATCTAATGGCTCTGATATCCTACAACTAGTCAGAAAACACTGAAATTTTAATTTTGAGGCTTGTGCGGATCTATTGACTTCAAGTTGGTATTCACCATAGACCAATATTAGTCCCAAGAACATTAAAAACATGGGGGCAGTCGACAGCTGTTTCGTCCTAGTGTACGACTCCTCACTAGTTCGCACCCACGACCCCATTCCTAGGGGTCGAACTCAGGATCTTTGGGTTTGTGGCCAACCCACAAGTCTATATCCCCAACTTCTATCGGTTCATGACATTGTGAGACCTCCATCCAATGACATCGTTGAGTATCTATTCTCAGATCCGACTTGCCTAACTCAACCAATCACGACTTCTCATTGGAACTTCTGGAACCACCTATCGAAGCTAGTCAACAATGAGCACTAGAATGACTGAATTTGGAGGTTTTTCCGATGTTCCTAGGTTTTAATGTTCCTCTAACTAATGTCGGTCCATGATGAATACCAACTTGAAATCAAAAAGTCCCTACAAACCTCCAAATTAACTTGATCTAGTGTCCATTGGTGACTAGCCTCGAGAGATTATTCTAGAAGTTCCAGTGAGAAATCGTGACCCGTGGGGCAAACCTGATCAACGTGAGGACAAATACTCAATGACGACATTGGGTGATGGTCATGCTATGTTGTGAATTGACAGAAATTGGAAATATGTACCACTTGATTTCGACCCAGTGAGTCAATAGTGACATGCTGACCATGAAACCTGAATGTCTTGAGCTCTATTCATGGCTGGGTTGTTGGTGCATACTGCTGAAGAGTCCCACACCAGGACGTTTAAGCTGTCCACTTCTCTCAAATTTCCGATGTTCATCCAACCTATGTCGGTCTATGACGAATACCATCTTGATATTTATTTACAATTTGTCCGATTCATTTGAGTGTTTTGATAAAAACAGAATTGTCAATCAATCAACAAACGAGTGATTCCTGTAGACGTCATTTCAGTTTTAACATACATTTCCCTTAATGGAAACATTCGCTTCCTTTGTGACGTAACTGAGGAAACAAATTTTCACAATGATGATAAAAGGCACTATTTTAAACAGCTACTCCTAAAATGCGATGTCAATGTTCAATTCAAATTTTGATAATGCATTCTGAAGACAAAAGAAAGGCTGGACTGGTCATCACTTCTTCGCCTAATAGGAGATTGTTTCGCGACAAACATCGAAAACACCATGTGACACCCTACTATTGGACATCTTCCATCTGGATAACAGCTATATGGATGACACAGTCGTAATATGTCATCAAGATGGGAACTCCAGAGCCATAGCTGAAAAGTTTAATGGTTGTCTCCAACTGGCCAAATTTATACCAGTATCTGAGGTAAACTCAAAATCTCACTTGCTTGAATGTTGTACTGAAAACATTAGATGGGTTTCGTCAGAGATGAGTTTATAGAAAGTCTATATGGAATGGTCATTGCACTCATTTCCAAAAATAAACATATACTAATCAGAAAAAGCAATCTAATTCATTAGCTTTCGTTGAAAATTAGATAAGTTTTAGATACAACTGAAAAGTTAACTGAAAGAATTTCGAGGAGTGATCTTACAAAATGCATATGCATTTAGATTTATCGAGAAAGATCTAAAGGTTAAACTAAGCACCGACAAAATTCTTTCAGTTTTGAAGAAAACTTTGTCTGTGAATGTTGGTTTCAGACGTGGCGCCACAACAGAGATCATAAGTAATCGTTTGACTGGTTCATTCAATAGGAAACCTAGTCGATTGTCAAGCATAATCTTAAAATTTATAAAATGTATCTTTTGTATAATCGGAGTTATGATTTACCAAGATACACTAATTCGTTGGGTGGTTTGTGTGTTTGGAATATACTCTTGTCATATCCTCCAGGTAAACCGTGTTTGTAAACTGTAAAATCTTTGATCAAGCCAAGCCATAGGTATAGGCGTATTTGACTTTGAATTCTCCATCCTTTAGGTCCAACACCTTCGCGTCCTTGTTTCTAGAAGAGGAAGAAAATAATTCAGATGTATTTTCTAGAAATTTTGAAGGCACCAAGTGCATTACTCTTGAGTCGCACGTTTATTTTTCTATTTTACTTTATTGTATCTTGATCCCTAGATAGCTGCTAGTTGTTACACTCGAAGTGATCTTAAGACCACTCCTTACACCAGGTAAAGCAGAAAAAACATAACACTTGTGTGCGCCCCAACATAAATCGAAGGACAATTTATCGAAAGCTAGTTTTCATCATAGACTGACATGACATGGCGAACAGGTGAAGACCTGGGGTGCTTTGTCACGAGGGGGTATACACTGGTGAGGAGTCCCACAATAGGAAGAAACAGCTTTTCAGTGCTCTTGGGTTTCCAGTGGCTGTCCAAGTGATGTCAGTCCATGATGAATGGATATCTCGAAGTTCTAATGAGAAGCCGTGACCTGTGGGGTCAACCAGTTTGAAGAGAAGCGGATGTCAGTCAAAGACCTTGGGTGATAGTGATACTATACAGCGAACTGACAGAAGATGGGAACTATGAACCACTGAACTGTGACCAAGTGGCTGAGTGGTTAATGCGTTCTCGTGAAACCTGGAGGTCATGAGTTTGGCTTCCAGTCGGGATGTGGGTGTATACTTCTGAGGTATGCCATACGAGGACAAAACGACTGGACAGTGTCCGCGGGTTCTCGTTGGCTCTCCCACAGATATCAGCCCACGATGAATACTATCTTGAAATCAGCCAATCTCTACAGACAAAAAATGAATAACTCACTAATTAAGAATGGTTGATGAACAAAGCAACATCACTCATCACTAGTTGTCTGTCAGCACCTGTCTCCAGACTTGAGGTCGACTGATTAATCAGTGGATTGCAGATACAACTGAATTAATGTTTAAATATATATACGTTATCGACAGATAAGTGACCTAAAAAGCAACCCCAGCTACTACTCAACTAACTCATTGGATTTGCACATTTCATGAAGTAACCGCCTTGCCAGTTACAGTATAGAAACTCAATTAGTTGTTTCGGTATATCTCTGAATAATCTTCTGAGTCACTTCAACTTTCAGTTGGTGCCATCTTTACCTTTTTCAGATATTATTTACTTCAAATGTTGAAGTCAACAGACTTGTTTGATAACAATTGAGGAGGATTTTCCCCACGTTTTTGAAATCGCTGCAACCTCTCTAAGCCGTACAACTGTTAAGCATTGCCGTAGTCAAATCAAGACATTTGAAATATTGTCGCATACATGCCGTAGTATTATAGCAGTTAAAATCAGTCATTTTAAAGGCTTGAAGAGGTATGAACTAAGCATCGAATGGTTTGCCATATAACTGGTAAGACCATAGTGCCGATTACATTTGACCTATTGAGTTTGAAATTCAGTAACTACTTTAAGTAATGCAATGCTAGGATGAATTGTGTCTCGCTCTTAGAGGTTAAAAGTGAAATGAAAGGAAATCCTAATGGACCTAGGTCTCAAGCTTATTGGCATTCATTATGTTGGGATATATCCAACGTGAAGGAAGATAATGTTTCTACTGAAATTATTGGTGAAATATTTCACTCTAGGTCTGAGTGATACTTATATTTGAATATACAAGGTGGAAACAGTCCCTTCAAGGTTGCAGACATATCTTGCTGTTGAGTGTTAAAAAGCTTGAAACTTGGGTCTACTCCGTCTTCCAGCCGATTACCTCCTAACAGCTAACCAATTGAAGCGAATAGTCGAATGTATACACTTCCCTTCCTATTCTAATAATGTCAAGCGCCTAATTTGAATACAATCATATGAAATATTCTTTTTCTTCAGAAATCCATATTGTTGAGGTATTTAAAATCATCTGATTGACGAATATATCTGTACTCACGTCATCATCATCAACTAATAATTAGGTAGGTTTCGATGTATTATTATTATCAGCATTATTATCTGGATGTGGTATTTATCATGGATTAACATCAGTCGGAGAGCCACTGGAATACTAGGAGCTCCAGAACCTTTTTTGTCCTAGTTCGGGACTCCTCAGCAGTACGCACTCACGACTTCTTCAGAGATCAAACTCAAGACATTCAAGTTGCACGGTGAACGAGTTACCCATTCAGTCACTGGGTCGAATTTCAATGGTTTCCTATTTCTATCAATTTGCGACACTGTGCAACTACACACCAAGGTCTTCAGTTGACATCCGCTTCACTCCTGGCTGTTTGAATACATTTCCATAAACCTGAAACTACATTATTGTTGTCGTCAGAAAATTCTCTTTTATTCTGATAATGCAGACGAAAACATTTGTTCCTATCAATTTGTCCTGTCGTGCAGACAGAAGTCGTATGTAAGTCCATGCCGAATACCCTCTTGTACATGCAAAAACAACTACGTAATGACTAAAATGCCACCTATGACCTTTTCGTTTCATAACTGCATTGCGAGAGGATATAAATAACTATGCAAACACACACATACAAATAATACATGAAAAGGTACACACTTTGTATTGGAAGTTAGTGCTGATGATGTCTAGAAAGACAATGAATGCTTCACGATTAAACCACCCAGAAAAGAGTAAACAACATAATCAAGATATATGCAATTCAATACTAAATAGTTAACAATAATTGTACATGCAGGATTGGACAGAGAGATCAAACATGTATATTATCTTTGACATGCTATTTCCTGATTATTTCCATGAAGAAACTTATGCCAAACTTCCGGGTGAAACGTTGGAGTTGTTTTATTTCAAACATCCTGAGGCTTATACAAAAATAACCTATATCTAATGTCAGCTTCTTACTGGGCACCCAATATTTGTAATACTATTCCGTCAAGTCTTCATTAGGGTTTATATAAATGTCTATCTTTCCAACTAATTTTTTGCAGATTGATTCATCCATCATGAACTAACGTTCATTGGAGAACTATTGAAAAACTCGTAGCACTGAACAGTTACTTATTCCTAGCTTTCAAACTCCTCAAAAATGCAGACCCATGATCCTACGATGGAATTACCCTAATGCCGTCAAATCTGACACCAAATGTCTTGTCAATCAACCACTACGTTACAATCCAATGGCCCATAGTTTCTAACTTCTGTCATTCCACAACATAGTATAACCATCATCCACGGCCATTAGTGAATATTGTTCATCAAATTTAACTTTGTTGACTCCATTGGACTTCCACTATTTGTGACACTATTCAGTTAAGTCCTCATCATTCCTCATTTAGACGTCTGTATTCTAGTTTAAAAGAATATATGAGTGAAATATGCTTTATCATGCATTGTCGAGACTATAGATGTTCATGCATTTCTGAGTTTGTTCTATCCCTAACATACTCATAGATCATACGAAGAAAAAATTATTTAGATATGCAGATCTCAGCAAGGATAAAACAATACTTCGTCAATAGTAATAACAGTAATAATAATAACAACAGTGATAATAAACATGTAATACTGCTTGTAATTTCCCGTCGTTGAATAGCATACGAGCTCCTGTACAAACGCCCCAATATTACTTGTAGTTTCAGTTTGATAACATCTATGGATAGTGGCTAGCAGTAAGATTCAAAAGGCACGTTTTGTCCCATTTGAGACTCTTTAGATAAATATACCTTCCTCCCAATGAGTGGTGTTGTTCCCACTAAGACTACTGCTTTGAATGACACAGAGTGATCCAATAGACCACTGAGTTATGACAGTCACTTCTTGTTCAACCGGTATTGTTTCTACGCTATTGAGTCCTGGATTTCACTGCTAGCTTCTGTCAATTATTGCTATCTAATATATGTGTTACGATTCACTAGTCTCAAACTTTCATACCGGATAACACCATTAAAACAAGTGAAGCATATAAATAAGGATTCAGTCTCTGAGCACAGTCAACGTATATGCCATGGGATGAGTTAATGTGGTATTTGTAGTTGCCATTGGTAGTATTACCGTTACTGAAGTAGAAATTGCTGACAAAGCATCATAGAATGTAACTTTTTCGGTGTTTATCTCCAGTTTCCTAAATCACCAATCTACTGATTGACTTGAGCACATGGTTTCAGAAAAGTGTATCACTTTCGAGTAATATTAATGCGAGACAAAACATTTACTTACGAGTAGCCGCTAACCGTGCAAAAGAAGAATCGCGTACAAGAGAAATAATACTTTATCCCAAATGTGAAGAAGTAAGTGTTGTGCATTTGAAAGCTAGTCAGAATTAGAGAAACAATGAGCTTACATAATGCTCAGCCACAAAAATTCCGAACCTTGCCAGGTTCAAATAGTTCAGCTGATATCTCCAAGATGTTTTCCAATTTTTATCTATGGAAGATAAATTCCCCTTCAATTTTGATATGGCAGTTAATAACTAAGTTATTTGAAGTCTATCAATCTATTTGCTTACATAGTTCCTCTTAAGGAAGAGAGTCAGTCAGTTTACACCTCTGTTCATCGCTTCACCAGCTATATGTGTAATATTCAAAAGTAACTTACTTTGTCTTGTGTTTGTATTTCTTCTTAGAAAATGTCTTATGTGATGAATGTGCTTTACTTCATAATTTTTTCAGACATTTTACTCGCTCCTTTATATCAAGTGATAGACTTTGGCATTCTTCCCAAGTACGAGTCAGTTATCTTGTTGATAAGGTCCACTAAAAATAAATCCTTCCATAACACACTGTCTTCTTTCATCATTTATTAACTATGGCAGAATTATGTAAAATAGAAAATGTATTCAGTTCGATAACATTGATGAGTAGTGGCTAGAAGCGAAATTTCGCATGGATATTTTGTCCTATTTGAAACTCGTCAGTTAAATTGGCCTGCATTCTAGTCACTGTTGTTTTTCGTACTAAAAATAATACCCACGATCCTTTACTTCAAAAGCCATAGCGTTATCCCTTAGGCTACTGAATAACGATACATCTAATCTTCACTAAAACTAGTTCTTAATTCAATTTGTGGTTGGTCTTATAATTTTTTCTCTAAAAGAAACACCAGGAATGCTTTACACTATATATATGCTCATATAAATTTTTTACGTACACGTAAGTATAAAGTTGCCATTTGTCCACTCCATTTGCCTCGTTCACAATCCACAGCGGAATAATAGATATCTTTTGCAGGATTCTTACAAAACCAACTCTTTGATTCTCCATAATCATTGAAATGAAAACATCTGGTAAACCATCTTGAGGCTGAAAGTCAACGATAAAATATAATGGCAGTGTTCAGAGTCTGTGTGATTCAAACAAAACAAAAAATCATTTGGTCATTGTAAAGTTTTGTCTTTAATAATAACAAGTCTACATTGTGTTCATCAAATTTCTATAAAGCTATCACAATTGATATTTGTTCTTTCACAAGTTTGTTCTGTTGTATGACTAGTCTTCCAGCGTCGTCAGTTGTTGCCTGTAATCTGATCAGCTTAATAAGTTCCCTATGGAAGATTTCAATAATTCCATCTATTCTGAGTCATTATATACTACTTTTATTTCACGTATACAGTCTATATGTTGGATGCCTTGGAAATTCTCAACTCTGGTTCATATTTCACCACAGTTGCCGATGCCAACCACTCACGGGACAGCGAGTTCCAAATACACAAAGACTTTGTTATTCTTCTTCCCTCTCATCACTGAAATTTAGTCAAGTGATATAAATCTTCATCAAGGGTAAACTATTTTCATCCTTCTGTGAAGTAGAACAGATCCTGGAGCTTACACACAAATTGGAGTGTCTAACTACAAACAATTAGGCAGCTCATTGCATTACATAACATTGCACTGATGTTAGGATGCAACATCTGTTTCTATAGATAGCCTTCTTATTCATCCTGTTAAAGGTGTATATTATCGAATAATAAACTCAGACGTCTACGAATTTCATTACCAATCCTTATCACTTTCAAATCATGCGTAAATTCAAAACTAAGTTTCAGGCAACACAGCAGTGAAAATCTGATAGGGCCTAAGAGGTTGACCAAACCCCTACCCCAACAATTCAGTGTAAAGTTAGCAAGCAAACTAGACTGATTCAGCCACGGTATTCATGAGACAGTAACCTATAGTTCCATAATTTGTTGGTGTCCATCATCTAATGATGGGTGGATACGAAGTATAACAGTGGTAAAATATATGTAAACTTCACTGTCATGAACAAATTCTTATCAGTTACCCGGCTTTTTTCATTTCGGCACCGTTTAGGTTGTGTAGTAGGAGTCATTATCCGCAAAGATCTCCAGTTAGAAGGTTTGTGTGCCTCAGTAAAAGAATGGGTGAATGTATGTCTCAACGATTTTAGAAAATTTATGCCCGTTTGCTTAGATGAAAGAGTATCGAATTGAATATCTTTTATAACACTGCCGCCACTTTTATAACCTTGTCACTACTTGTTATATTCTTTTAGTAACTACTTGGTATAACAATAGCTTTCAAATTTCACCCGTTGAGGGTCGCTTGCTTTCTCTGTAAATGGAAAAGCTAGTGAGATAACAGAGGGTGTATTGAAACGTTAAAAATATTTACAAAATTCAAGGGTTTATATATATTTACAATGGCCTTGACTATTTCGAGGCCTTTCTAGATTTGAATGCCCAATTGCTGTTGCATCCCATCAACTAATCTGGTATTTACACTTTGATTCACGTGCATTCTCTTAAAACTTCCACGCAGCATGATTGGTTGTAGAAAGCTTCAGAGATTTACGGCTTCTTATGAAGATTTTGATAAGCGTATTCACACTATAACAATATCAAGTAGAGTCTATGAAGTCTGCACCTTATTTTCACTAAATTTCTCCAGCACCACCGTGCTTCATGAGGGCCTTCTAGCCTAAGTCATCTCAGAACTATAATTTACTTTAACACCAACTGGAATCTCATAACCCAAAAATATTCAGATCTGAAGAAAATTTTCATTTTTTTTTACATCACTAGAACAAAAGCAAAATATTCACACCCTCTCCCAGCCTCAAGCGAAAAACATAAAAGCCAGTACAACACCTACACAATTGCTTAAATTACACAAACGTCTGTGTAATCCATTGGCATCCTTGATCTTTTCACCCAATGTGTGCTTGCGCACTTGCTTTGATAAACTGATCATAAACATCGCCATCCGGCGGAGATCGCGACGAACCCGACGTGAATATTCTCGATCCAGAAGGGTTACACTAGCAGTATCACGACATGATCTAATTGATTCTTGTGCCTGGTTGAATTTTTAGCCATTGTCAAGAAAACTGTGCGTAGATAGTTTCTAGCATCTGAGGTTTTTCGCCGAATAAACAAATGTTTAACACGTTGTATTTGATAGTACTATGTTTTGCAGAGTAAAAATAAAGCAAAATAAACAGGATATAAGATAATTAGGAAGTAATAATGTTTTTACGAATTATTCCTTGTTGAGAATCAGGATTTCGCGTCTGTAAACAGAACCTAGGAATCATTAGCATGGATGAAATTCAAGCAGTGTGTAGAATCTTCACCGAAGTTGTTAGCCATGAATGAAATAAGAAGATTTAATTCCTTGATGTATAAGGTGTAAACTCTTACCCTATGAATAGATTATTTAAAGGAAGTGAAGTAAGCACAATTCAGTAATCAGCACCTACAATCCTGTATCCATCTTGATAGATGCTGCTTACTCACCCAAATGGTACAACATTTTATGGAAATGCAGTTATGGTCAAGAGATTGTAGGAAGTTGTTTAGGCTGAAGTTACATCATACATGCTCCAGTGCTTCTGTAGCTTAGCGTGATAAAATAGTTAGGAGATCTAAGTGAGAATTTAATGAAACTTCACCACATCTTACAAACAAGTGGTAATAAAATCCTCCTACTTGTAGCATTATTGAACGAAAATCCACTCGTTTTGTAACTTAAATCCCCTATACATTTCAAATCAATTTTTGCGGGTTAACTAATGACGACACAATCTTTAACAATGCCATCGAAACACCATTTGCAGAATATGATGAGGCTTCATTTTATTTCATAGGTTTACAGCATTTAGCCACCAAGTTCTTGTTTGCATAAAACTCATATTCTGCATTTCATACATGGCCACCGTAAAAGTGTTGCCGTTATTCAAAATACTTTAGGGGATTGTTCTGGTTTTTTCACGCATCAAGTCTGTTCACAGAAATCATATGACTTTATTGTTTACACACTGGTAACATTTTCTTTATTTGTGATTTTAAACTTTCTGTCTGCTAACTATATGAAAGTAGTATTTTGCCATCAGTCAATCTATCTTGTAAGCAGAACATAAGAAAACGGTAGAGTCAGATTTATAGGAGTTCATCACCAGTGGGTAATGAATGCAACTGAACGCCTGCTAGTTCTCAGCACCGATCGACATCTATCCATGAAGTTTGCAATGCACACACTATGCTGAGTGATTCAACAATCCGGTATTATGTATTCCGGTGTCACGTGATCAATTCGTGTACATAATCTGACCTTACAGGAGGTCAGTAATGTCCTGAACGGCTTAGAGGTAAATTTTATTATTACGACGCTGAGCAATAAGAGCTTAAACAAATTGGAGGGGCATAAAATTCTTCATGAATGCGAAACTTTGGTCAAGTTGGGCTTCTTCAAGATTGAGCGCTAATGGATAGTATCAAAAATTCAATTTTTTGGCTTGGTCTTAAACGTGAATCTTCAAAAAGTCCTACTTCATAAGAATGTTGTGGCTGTAAAATCTCGGTCAGTATAAATTAGTGTCTGTCAAATAGCAAGTAACAACCGCGAATGCAACAGTTTCTGTCTTACTCAGATCTTTATTATTCCTACCTGTTGAAGTGAATACAAAGTTTGAGGAATCAGATATTCATTTAAGAATCACCACTTTGACCTAGTTTACGAGAGCTGCTGATTACTCCGATTGACTTCGAAGTAATCTTGTCAATTAAAAAGATTTTTCATGTCTCTTAGTCTGTTGACAATTTACCGAAACAGATACACAGCAGAAGTGACAAATCAATTTTCATTTGGTCCTGTCCTCCTTACTGTGAACAGTGAATCTTGTATCCGCTGCTTTTGAAAGACTGTCAGTCGAATACCTGAAGTATTATGAGTAATTCTTAGAAAGCTTCATTTTTCTACATTGCAAAAATTAGCTGGGCATTAGAAATTGTTTAACCTATGTATGTGATCACATAAAGTCAAGCCATAGGATGGGAAAAGGTAACACTTCTTAAAAATAACTTAGGTGGTTGGAGAGACTGACAACCGAATACTTGTTTAACAAATCAAAACCGAATCCGTGCAACAGGAATAACTCTGCAGTTGCTTCAGATACACGGATAATTTTACTACCTATGTTGAAAAGAAGGATAGAGGATTAGCATTATATTAATAGTTTCCCCAAATTGTGGAGTTACCTTGATACAACTATAAACAGGAAATTGTAAGTGAAACGTTATCTTGGCAAATAGCATTGCTTCACTGTATAATACATCCGATTGGAAAACAACATGCTACATTGCTCAAGTTTTACCTTTATAAGGAAATTTCCATTCTAAACTATACCTATAGAAGGAAAGACCTTAGAGAGAAGTAAAATGAACATAATTCACTCAATTAATTTTTAAAGTGATACAGTCAACTCACTTAGTAGTCGAGGATGAAGTGTTCTGTTACTCATCTGTCGGTGATGAAAATGCTAGAGTAACTCTACAGACCACTCTGACAACTACTGAAGTAGCCAATTAAGTTTGTCTGTTTCATGAAAGGCTAGCTTTGGAACAGAAATAGAGAAACTTAATTGGGTGTTTTGGTCGGTGCTGGGGTGGCCTTTAAAGTTGGTCAGATGCTAGGCAACTAAAGCATCAGAAGCTCAGCCAACATCGGGTATAAACGGATTTACTCACTGTATTATCAGTGAACAGGTGTTTGTCCTGTTGCTTGTTGATAATACTGTCTAGATTGGTAGGGGAAAATGTGCCAATTAACTATGTTTCAGAGAATATGTAAGTACTATACCTGAAGATCTTCACAATCCATGAAGTGTAAAACCATGTAAACAAATACAGAATATCTTTTAAAAAGCCATACTTCAAAGTGACTGAATGCGTTTATAAAACTTAACGCTTCATTTTCTTTTATTGTCAGTAATATGGGAGTGCTAGTTATGGTTGGCAGACAGTTCATTGAACAACCGAACTTCTCCTTTCTCGCTTACAGCGATCATAATGTTGAACTTTTCTGACTTGTATTCTATCGGTTTACTATGTTAGTTTAAGTGAAACGATACACTGCGCTTCTTAAGACATTCGCATCTGGTACGTACATTCGTATTCATAAGTGATAAGCTATAACAACAGGCATTTGACTCTGAATCATTTTCCTATACTCTAGACACAGGTAACGATTGGAGCTCGATGGATGGTCAGTGTATTACCTTGAAAGTAACCTGTACATTGGATTGTCAGAATCACATGTAGTACCTCTAGGTTGGACAAAATCTAAGTGATTTTGAAGATCTCCGTAGTAACTACTGATATAAACGATAAAGTGCATTTATTCTGACCGCATAGGTTGTGTTCCATAGTTGGTTATTTCAGCAATCTGCTAGATTATCTTTAATTCTATTCCAGCATCTTAATTGCTGTCTTAATGTTGGGGACCAGCTACCAACCCTTG